AAAAGTCAAGTCAAAAGTGGACAACAAACACCTATGTCTCAAAGGAATCACACAGCAAATCATGTGCGGTGTACTGGAGAACAGAGGAGCAGTACATACAATGCTATAAAGCCTGATTGTATAGTACTGTTCATTGTCGATTACATATTACAGAATTATAATAGGAAACCATGTTATTCTACGTTCTATTATTGTACCATTTGTCAATAGTGTTGGTGTTTTCTTTTTCAACTGTATTTTGTCTTATTGTGATTACCAAACACATTATCAGTACAATTTCTATGCGTAATCAACTAAATATTTTAAAATTAGCATCAATGGAGCCCAGAAGGTAAGGATATATTCAACGTCCACAATAACCACATCAACACTGGAGCTAAAAAGGGACTAAACTCGGATCTAAACCTTGACCAGATCAGTTCTAACACAGTACTAGTACAAGACCAATCCAACTCTACATTGGGTCAAACTGGTCCCAAACATTTCCCCCATTTCCCATGCATTTTATTATTATCCGGTATAGCATAGCATGTTTTTTTTGTACTTGCATGCAGCTATGGGTTGTTTGTATCTGTTGTATGTTTGATGGTCCACGTAAAAAAACACTGGACCAGTGCACGGCCAGATTGATTAGACATGAGGCTCTTCTCTCTAATGCAGTGGATTAGGACAGCTAATAAATGTTTCATAGGAGCATAGGCGCAGATCAAACATGAGAAAGGCCCCTGGCTGGTGCTGGGGGTCAGTGTGACAGCTAACCCCTCCTCTGTTCCCTGGTTCTCCGCCTACCCCAGCTGTTGGCTCTCAGCTGTATTATGACAACCGCTGCAGCCCGTCTCCGTGGCAGCTACAGGCCGTGCCCCCGTGAGCACACATCATTAGCCTCCATCTGTCAGCCTATTAACAGGTTGCTCTAATGTGCCCAAGGACTTCCTTCATTCCTACCCACTGTGAGACCATGTTCACACTATGCAAAGTTGTTTTTTAAGGTTACTCCATACTTTAGTTACAGTGTTTAAATACACCTACTCTGTCCTATTTCCAGGGAAAGAAAAATAGAGTATATGTAGAGACTCGAATCTGTTATTTACCAATTAAATGCAGTCTCTTTGCAGTGCTGAGTCAGTCCAAAGCCTGGAAACATAGAAAAGCTTAGGAGTAGGCCCTTTTTGTCAATACAGGCATTCAAAATGAGTTTTACCGTTAACTAAGATAACCATTCCATTGTCAATAAGTCAATAGCAACATGTTAAAATAATTGAAAAAGCAGGGTTCATAAATTGAAGAAAAGTTGTAGTATAGTTCATGAAACTGAAATTTTCACTTGTAAAAATAAGTGTGTTTATCTGGGGTATGATAAATTTGTTGTAGGTTACTTTATGATGATTATGTGAACATATATGTATAATATCATGGAAAATACAGCTACAGCTGAAACTTCATTGTCGATACTGCTGCACCTGCCGATATCAACAAAACTCATCTATTGATCATCCCATAACCTGTACACTGTATATCTGAACATGAACAGCCAAAATACCATAACTTCAAGTTGAATTTACCATCTGGTCTTGGTCCCTGGTTCCTTCTGTCGGAGATCTGTTCTTTCACCTTCTGTTGGTGTGTCCCCAGTGAAGCACTGTGGCCAGAACACACTTCTTCTCTCAGATGTCCCAGAAGAATAAGGAGAGACTCAGGACCTGGTGTCTGTGGTCATCAAGGGATTAACACAAAGACACAAAGGAGAAAGTGTGAAAACTGGTTAAGTCAAATAAACTTTTGTACACAAGTTCACAGTCATTTTAAATACTTTACAAGGAATGACTATTGATATATTGCTATTGACAGGAATAAGCAAGATTAATGATATGGCACAATGTGTGAGATGGGTAAACTTTGATCAGTTCATCAAAATAAGCCAATGGTAGAGCTGAAAGCTTTAAAAATATATTATTTGAAATAGGGGTATAAAGAAGGGGTAAACAATATTCTGCAAATCTTTCTAGTTCACACTTGTATTTGGTTAAATCCAACTATCACATGTGCAGGGGTCGACTAATAGAATGGGAAATGTATTTGTGTTTGAGCATTAAATCAATATTGTCAATCTCCCATGATTTTATTTTTATGATCAGATCACTCAGCCCTAACTTGCAATAGAAAGTAGATTTTATTTAGTTTTTAAATGAAAATTCAGATCAATGTGCACATTTCAAACATGTCTAAGGAGAATTGAGAGAAAACAAAAATATGAAATGTTGAACTAACATTTCTGAACATGTATGAAAAGGTCTATCTAAATTACAGACTTAGCAGGTCACTGTTAGCAGGTCTTAATAGTTTGCTGTCACCATTTCAGTTTCTTTTTGATTGTATTAAATATTGTAGCCATTGCACCTTTGCTTTAAATTTAAACTTGTAGAACATAAGTATTTAATTCTGATGTCATCTTACCTTAGTCATACACCCGACAAGCATAATATTATGACATTAGATTTTTTATCATTCATATTGTTTGACAATTAGTAAAATTAATCATTTAGCTTATAATGAGCAAAAGTGTGCGCCCATTTTGCATCTCATGTAAAAATCAGGGGGAACTGATCAAGAAAAATCACAGAATGCACAGGGGCAACTATAGACCAAAATGCCATACTGCTGCTTTTCGTAATATTCAGCTTTATTTTGTGAGACTATGAGACTTTGAGCCCACCCACATACAGTATGCACAGGACAAAGTAATAAAAGTATTGTGAGGCAGAAAGATGAAGTGGCTTCTGGTGGCGGCGGTGACACTGGTCTGAGCAAATGGGCTGCGTGGCTGCCGGTGTAACTCTATCTGTGGATGGGGAATACAGCAGTGGTCGGGTAATGGAAAGGTCATTTAGCCAATTCCCAAAGGTGGGGGGCAGCTCTGACACGACTCGTTTGTCACAGTTCGATAAATGCCACTCCAGGGGTGAGACAGAGCCAGGGTGTGTGTGCAGGACTGTGGTAAGACATAACAAAAAAAATAACATGATCGTTAGGCAGCCCCTCTTTTAGCTGGGGCAACTGTCCAGGGTATATTCTGTCTAAAGTGCTTGATTTGGGAGAGTTTAGTTGAAAAAATAGAAAGCAGTTAATCCGGTTAATTAAAATATATTTGTATAATGTCAGCTTAGACAGGATGTAAGTTCAGTTGTTGGGGGACAGAGGCAGAGCATGCCACAACTGATTCCCAGAGCATGTGTACCCGTTTGAAGCCTCAAAAGGGGTCAGCAGTGAGGTCAGCCACCACACAGACTTTAAAACTTGTAAACGCACTGGTCTCCACAGGACAAATGACATTAGCCTCATTCAAGCCCCTACAGACTGAAACAGAACTACAAATCCAATATGGGCCTATGCATTAAGCTTTAACTTTGTGCTCAAACTACCTGTTTCTGTAGATTTGTTTATCCTATCCAGAAAACTGACGGTGGGAGCATTAGCCTTTGAAGGGATGCAAAGAACAGTTAAAGTGACATGCTTTGAGGGGGCATTTTACATTAAACTACAATATGAAACAGATTCAATAACTTCCACTTACTGTTTAAAACTGCAGAACTAAAAGTGAAATTTCTCCATAGCAAGCAGATTTCCATGTGGTTTTGCATTGTTAGAGAATAGCTGGCATATTTTTAACCCTACAAGTTTAACAAAAAGTTATTTTTCGAAGATAATTGCAAATAAATATAAAGCTCTGGGCGGAGATAGGGAATAGGTGAAAATGGCAATTTCCTCAGCACTCACGCCTTGAATGCAGGACAGTGCAGGATGACTTAGACATGTAATCTAAATACAATTTGCAGTAAGCTTATGGTGAGTGAACCAAGTTGTAACGTGGTTGAAGTCTGACTAACTTCTGTCGCCGACATATCCTGCCATAGCCTTCTGCTAGGCTCCTGTTTACACTACAAATGATAAATGCAGCAACACTCACACGCACGAACACGAAGTAGAATGCACTAGAGTCCTTCTCAGACTCTAATGCTGGACCACTCTATCTATGGCCCAGTACCATTATGGACAGAACAGAAAGTGGGCCATTTCATAGCAGGTATGTAACACAATAACGATCCGAGGCGGGAGCTAAACATTTTCACACGTCATTAGCCGTTTAGTATTGGACACCATCTTTCCTCTTTGAAAATCAATGCAGCTCATTCACGTGATCCAAGTGTCACCCGTGTCCTCGTCTGTCTGTCTCCTAACTCACCCGTGTGCTCCTCCAGTGCCGTGTAGCTCTGAAACTTTACTTGCTTTATTAAATGTCGCCCTCTGTGGGTCTGTTAAGATTAGACCATCTGTTTCTCTGCTCCTGACCGTCCATGCCCTGGTCTGACCAGAAAGACCCCATACCCTGACAGGGTTTTGCCTTTTGGGGTCATTTACATGGTTCTTTGTCTCCCCCTTGTGGGAACTACTATGTAAACCTAAGAGAGTTCGCTGTGTTTATGCTGTTTTATTAATATTATTTATTTCACTATTTTTGTAATTACTTCCATTTACTGTATGCTACTTTTTGTCCACTGATAACTCAAAAATACTACTGATTTCAAAATGTTCAAGGCCCGCTGATGAGAGTGGCTCCAATTCTACACTACAGACTGTATATACAGTCTATGGTCTACACAGACGTCACCTAATGCTGCAGGCCAGGCCCTACCATTGACTCTATGAAGTTATTGCTGTGGACTTTTGGAGCAATTTTTAGAAACTATTTAAGCCTGTTTGTAGTCTTTGCCAGGACTATTGATAAACTTTCTGGAGAGGCTTGGGCTCACTGGATATATGTTGATTGTTATGCGTTATAATTTAATTCAAACTTTAACACAAAAATATAAGATAGAAGCTCATGAAGTAATATCCATTTAGACTCTCATTTATACCTTTGTTTAGAGTTTGCTCAAGTGTTCCAAACGCTAGACTATCACTAAATGATAGTGAAACCTCTAAAGGCTGAGCTACTGTGGTCAGTGACATCATGGGACAGAGCTCTTCCTCCTTTACACTACAACTCAGAGGACAGGCAGGCACAGCCAGGGGTGTACTGCGCTAGGTTTAGAATCTATTTCATAACCTTCAACAAGTCAATGCAATGGCACCCTTAATGTTTAAAGATGCTTTTTGGGTAAGTAGTACATGTGTATTATGTGATGCTTTGACAGATATTGTTCTTTTTGTTAAGACATAACACTTTTAAAGACTCGTACTATGCAGATCTGAAACGTATATCTTCCTTGTTATGACAGTTTGGCTTAACACTACTTCTGCATTTAATACTCTTGGTCAACTCAAGGACATGTTGCAACAGCCTTTCAAGCCAAAAAGTATTTTCTCATATTTTCTTACAGGGAAGCGATTTGACTAACCATGCCGGCTATGAAGTCATTATCCATAGGCTAAAGGATGGAAAGCAAATGTGCAAAGATGTAGAGGAACTTTTTAAAATGAGGTATCACAAACATTACATTTTTAACCACAAAAGTCAAGAGGTTCTAACACTTATTGGGCTTAGGTGAGCCGCAGGATGAACTAAATCTAAACAGGATTGGACCAGATCTATCTAAATAAAATCAAAACACCACTTTTTTTCCTGTAACTGAAACAACATTTTTAAACAGATCTGAGTTTTTGTCATAGGCTAATTTATGTCTCATGAGTTTTACAGCAAAGTTTTTATTGTTATTTTTGTTTTTGTTTGTTTTTGTTTTTATCCTATGACATTGCCCCTCTTAACTTGACTGTCTTTCACCTTAGGGCATTGGCAGAGGAGAAGTATGGGAAAGAACTAGTGACCATCTCAAAAAAAGCTGGAGGCCTCACAGAGATTGGGTATTATAGATTTTCTTCCTTACCAGAATTACACATTTTAGTGAGTCAGACTCAGATCGGAATGAGACCAAAAAGGAGAACACACATCTACACAGTGACTGGGTCTATGAATAAAATTCCTCTTAATGTACTCATTTCCAGTCTTATAGAGCTTAGTATTATTTATAAAATTCCTGTCAAATACTTGACAGATACTTGATTCTGCCTTTCTGTTGTTTGAATGTTGTTTATACAGAACTCTCAGGGCATCAATGGAGCAGCTTAAAACACGTATGTTATTTTATTATTATTTTTTTTTTTTTATCTCTTGGTATCTCTTGGTTAAAAACAATAGTCAAATTTGATTGTTTTTGGCACAGAAATTGAGAACATTGGGAACTTTCACATTCAGCTTTCTGAAATTTTGAAAGAGGAGGCAAAAAAGATTGAGACATTCAGAGAACGGCAAAAAGAGCAGAGGAAAAAGGTACCAGCTTTGCTCACTACAACAAGGATATAAATAGCTTTTACACTGGTCCAAAGTTGATTCAAAAGGCCCATTTCTGTTCCTCATCACAGTTTGAAAGCATCATGGAGAAGGTTCATAAGAAAAAGGTTTCTTTATTCAGAAAGGCAATGGAGGTAATTCAGATGTTGATTATGTATGTTGATTAATGTGAATATGTGAGGAAAAATAAGTAAAAATATTTTCTCCTGTTGTCTTTCTGTACCAGTCCAAAAAGTGCTATGAGCTGAGGTGCAAAGAAGCTGACGAGGCTGAACAAAATGCTGAACGAAACACAACTGCAGGCAAAAATGCAGAGAAGGTACAGGAGTTAGAACTTATTACATACAACCACACTCGCAACTTTAATTTAGTAATTTATTCAGTGTAAAAATCTACATTCATTTTTTGGAATGTCATGCAATGTGTTGTTTACAGGTTCGCCACAAAGCAAAGAACTTCAGACAGGCAGCCAATGATGCTGGTATGTAATACATCACACTATTTCAAGTAGAGTGTGTGCTAACTTTATGTGCTCTCTTTCTTTTTAGAGAAGGTTTATTTGACCAACATTGTGCACCTAGAGTCAGTACGACAGGACTGGGAGGAAACACACAGAAGCACGTGTGAGGTAGGCTATTATTAGAACAACAGACCTCTAGTCTATATGTGTCTACACTCATCTTCTGATGAACTGAATTGCACCTGGATACACTTAATTCTCACCTAACCACACACCACTTACCCTCTGGTGCCACTTCTATATTTACTTGCTGTGTCTACATCTATGATTGGGAGGAAGTTGTTTGACTGAGCTAAAGGTAACCAGGTTTTAAGCCGTATTTATTGCATTGCATTTGTTGAACATGTTTAAGGTGTTTCAGCAACTGGAGGGAGACCGCATCAGCACACTCAGGTGTGCGCTATGGGACCACTGCAATCACTTTTCAGCACAGTGTGTCAAAGACGATGACGTAAGTTTATCTTTAATGGATAAAAGGTGCTTATTTTGTTTTCTAAAAAAGCTTAATTCTTAAATTCTTAAACCAGCTGTATGAGGAGGTCAGAAAGTGCCTAGAGGAGTGTGACATCGCTAAAGATTTAAACACATTCATAGAGGCGAACACAACTGGTTGGACGCCACCTGGTGAGTTCTAGTCATGGAATTATATATCCATGGTTCTAGAGACTTTTTTTTTTTTACTTTTCAGTGCCCAACAGGTTGTGGCCTTCTCTGGTGACTTTCTCTTGTTTTTACAGGACCCGTGGTCTTTGAAAACTACTACCCAGCAGACATTGGCAGAAGTAGAAACGGAAATGCACATTTGGATGCCGGAGAACAGAACAATGCACCTGCTACAACAAGATGGTAAGGTGTAAGCAACGTCACTAGGCATGAAAAGTAACTGTAATAAGACAATGTGTTTTTTATTCGCAATTATTCTATTTTTCTTTAGGAGCTGTACCCCACAGCTTGATAGAACTACATCGACTGATGAAGAAAGTGCTCGAAATTCGCGGTTAACGCTGACATCAAGTGGTGAAAGTAAGTACTACATGAATGCAAGTACAGGTGCATGTGCACAAAAGAAATACATTATCCTCTACTTACAACCACATAATTTAAACCAAAATGAATCCAGCTCTTCTCATTAATATTGAACTTGTTATATTAGACTTTTAATTAATGTATGCTTCTGTTCTGTCTTATTTAGTTGACATTTTAGAAAGTGGTGGTTATGCCCCTTTACCACTATTTGAACAAAACACATCTACAGCAACTGAAACAGCAGATACAGACAGATGGATTGTCCTATATACCTATATTGCACAGGTACAAAATATAAAATGTTACTGGCGTGTCACTTGTATAGAAATTAATTTAAATTGAGTTTTCTGCTTATTATTAGGAAACAGATGAGATGTCCATCAGAAGAGGAGAAGTAGTCCAAGTGTTGGAGCGAGGGGAGGATGGCTGGTGGACAGTGGACAGGGATGGACAGTGTGGATTGGTACCAGGGAACTATCTGAACAAAATTTGAACTAGACATCATAAATGGCGATGCAGTCTGCTTGATTTTAACATGACTTTTATTTGTTTTCCAATCTGTACATAACATGGTCATACAGTGGCACTAGCTAAACGAGTAGATATAAAACTTAACATCAAATATATTAAAACAGCACAGTTCACTAAGAGGTATTAATTAAATAATGCATTGTAATGCTCTACAGCAAACTGTACAACTTAAATCTCTACTGGTAGATAAGAAACACTGACATGACAATCATTGCAAGTAACACTGAGAAACATAAGGTAGCCTATGTGAATTACAGTATCTGGCAGATATTACAGTATATTTGCCATGATGAATACACCGTTTGTGGCCGGAATCTTTAAAATAGAATTATATGTTGAATACTCTATTTGTTCTCAAGGAGTTTTACAAAGTAAGACATACATACACTTATATTACCTTTTTAAAAGTTGTATAAGTGGACAATTCTTGATGTCCCAAAAGTAGTGCATACCTTCACACATGGAAGTACATTCCAAATAACATCTTTATCCAGAATTTTACATTTAAGCTCTAAACCCCTATTTCATAAGAGTAAGCAAATATTAAACAAATTAATGAAAATCTGCAGTGTCAGTCAGCCGTATACAACTTTGGCTCTGATATTATGAAAAAAATGTCATTAATTTACATAAATAAACCATCCAGTCCGAAAACTCTCCAGTGCTTGCGCCCCTACTTTGTCATGGATTGTGCAAGGTGTACTTGAGTTTGTGTAACTACAGCTGACCTACTGTGGATGTGCGTAGTGACGTTTCCATTTGTTTGTTTGTATTTTGAAGTTCTTGTTGCTGGCTGGATCTCATGCATAACTGTTAGTTGTGACCAGAAGTTCATATGCAGGATCATGACTTCTTCGGCACAAAACAACACAGGCACACAACATGCCCAGCATCTGCAAACACAGAAAAAATTAGGGGTGTGATAAAATAATAACATTTTGTGGCTTAATTTGGTAATTCAGTATCACTATATGCTGCAATGATATACAGTGTAGAGAGTAACAGTTTTGCTTGTTCAGGGAAAGAAATCTTTATGCAATTAATTTTACATATTTTGAGTTCTGATGATTACAATTGTGTATTTTGTATTAAGTTTGTAAAGATAGTGGTTTGACAAAAATACTGTTGTGAAAATGTATTTTGGTTCTAATAAAATTATTTATAGTTTATATAATTGTGATTTTATAGTGAGAACTGAATTGTGAAGTACTTCGAGATTCCCAGTCCTAGAAAAGATACATAAAAACATAAATGTATTTGTGGTTACTTTAATATGTACCGTTTATACAACATATGTTTTGTTTTAATGAAACAAGTTTCTATTTAAATAATAAAATAAGCTTTACCTTACTGAATGAATACATTTTATTAATGTATTATTGTATGCATGTAGGCGCCATAATGTACCAATTTTTTGTTTTAAAGGTGAGGTTTTAGATCCTTTAAGCTTCAAGAACAGTAAGATTTAGCGGTTAAAAATTAGATTAGAATCCTTGTTTGTCTTACTCAAAGTACTGACTGTCTGAACTTTGAACTACTTTGAACTCAGTCAAACTGACTTAAAATAAAAGTACTTTTTCTATAACAGATTTTTGTATTGTATTGTATTTTGTACCTGTATAGATGCAAACGTTAGCGCTGCCCAGATGACATACATCATAATCTCCTTTAATTTCTTCACAACCAGAGCTTCACAACCCTAAGATAAAAATACAAAAATCCTAAAATTAACAGAAAAAACTGTAGTATCTTGGCTTGTGAACTTGCTGTACCTCTTGGTAGAGGTCTCCAGGGCGTGTCAGTGTACCAGTGCAGTTGCTGATGTTGGGCTGACAGCAGCTGACAGGGACACTGTTGTTGTTGGATTCTTTAAACCACCATGTATTCCTCCAGTCAGAGTAGTTATGAATGCCACAGCAGCGAAGCTTAAAGGCACAAATCATAAAACAATATACATTCTGTACAGCATACAGACTTCATAGATCACAATTTTAAGGTGGACTTTTGAGAAACCGTACCTGCCTCTGCACATAGTCAATAGCACGACTAGGAGCATCTGTATTTGTTCCATTGTATTCATTATAAACCTTTTGGATGGAGTGATTCACTTCATCTTCAACCTGACAATTACAAACACGTTTTAGATGTTGCTATGTGACCAATAGTTTTTTCTAGAATAAAATATCATATTTGTTTGTCCTTGTGTATGTACCTTAGCTCTGTATATATAACCAAGAACCACCACTACACACTCGGTGACAAACACTAACAGGAGAATAGCAGCAAACTGAAACACAAAAGTTTGTTCTGTATGATCATCACCATTAGAACTTGAATTAGACACACTAGAATGTAACATAATTTGTTGACTTACAGTTGCCAGACCACAAGAACTCTCGCGAATTGTGGCACAGCAGCCAATCAGGCCAATAATAAAGAGGAGTGTGCCCACTGCGATTATTATGACAGCAGGAATCAGGGTGTAAATGTCTTCAAAAAAGTGGTCATAATCATCATAAGTGATGAACACATATGCTCCAATGTAGCACAATATCCCAGCTGCTGCCTGCACAAAGCAAAATTAGTTAACACTACAATAAAACATGAAATATTTCCCCATTTACAGTACAGAAAAGGGCAAATATTCAGCAGACATAAAACTAGGCCGTCAGTAACCTGTGCCTTCTGAATATATACTTAACTGTTATGTGAGATTCAACTTCTGTTTTTTAATGAACGAAATGCGCTTAGCCAAATTTTAACAACAACAAAAAGCGTTATTCCCTTTATAAATATTGGTTGTTTTCTATGGACAAAGCTCAGTTGCATCTTAAGCATGATGCAGCGATCTCACAACCAGTCGACCCTTTATTATGTTGGATCACATGGCGGTTGCTTTATTGATTCGGGATTCAGAAATATTTATTTGAATATTAGGTATTTAATCGTGTTATTGTTAGTCTTGGCAAGCAGCTAGTCTATCTCCTAAGTGCAGCGCATCTCTGGCGTACTTTGCTAGCTTGCTAACATTATCCCATCATCAGTAGCGTCAGAGGATGCTGCACATAGTTCAACGCTGTTTGCTTACCCAGAATATCAGATTAAGAAAAACCAACACGGTCTTGGAGGATGTAATTCCACACTGCCCCATGTTTCCGCGACTGAGTCACTAAACAACGAGTATAAAAATGCAGATGCACCTGCCCCTTTGCAGTTAGAATAATAAAATGGCTCCAGTCAGTGGCTCTACCCAACAGTAAAGCATTCTCCGGGGTTTGACCAATCAAATGCACCAATCTAAAACCCCAAGGTCACATGGTTCAATGACATCACCATTCAAAACAATGCTCTTCACGAGGCATAGCTCCGTAAGGCTCATGGATATATGCGATGGTGTATGGATGTTAGGCAGGATGGGTGTTAGGTGGTTATATTGCATTAGGCTACCTTTATTGTAATTTGCCCAAACAACGGCGTTGCCGAACAAAAATTGTTTGGCGTAGGTAGGAGAAAAAAGGTCTCATTTAAGGCAGAAATGTATAAGCAGGCTTCATTAGACCACAGGCTTGCGGTTCGGATACTAACTGCCTTATTAATAGAAACGTTTTGAGAAAACATAAGCACTAGCACTAGAAGACACGTCGGCCTCTGGTCTCTGTCTCTCGTGTAGCCTAATTAACACTGGGTGGCAGTATTCCTAGTTTTTTTGTTTGTTTTTTGTTTTTTTCTCTATCTCGAAAAAGCCAGCTAGTGTAGTAGTTAATAATTTAGTAGTAAGCTCTCTCCTAAATTAGCCTATAGCCGCCTATAGCCTACATGCCTTGTAAATCCTGTGAGGACAGAATAGATGACTTCATTAAAGTGAGCGCCTTAAGGTATGCATCATGGCCACATTTGTCTGTGTCAGCTTTGTGTGAAATTGCAGAACAAATTCATTCAAACATATGCCGGGGCTATAGTTCGAGACACCGCATACATCTACTTGTTCAATTTTGTACGAGCTACATCTTTAACGTCTATCCTACTGGGATAAAATAAATGGGCCTAGTAAAATATTGTGGGTTTTCTGAGTCTAGAATGTGATTAAGTCATATTACAAGATGTTCTATAGAGGTTATGCAGATGACACCACAGCCTTTGGAACTTACTGGTGAAATCCCACTTTCACACTAAACAATGTAGGCTAAGCCTGTGGAAGAGCTATTAGGCCTATGATTACAAAAGGCTCTGCAACACTTTATACAATGTGGAAGTTCAACTGATAGCAGGACACATAAAGCAGACTTGTCAGACTAGACTGCTGTTATTATTCAGCCTTTACTGACTTCAAAATGTGTCACTTATACAGAGAAAAGGTTTACTGAAATGTCTGAAAATTATTACGTTTTTTTTCTATCAGGAAACAGACAGTCAGCAGTGTTTATTGAGTGTCTGGGGGCCCATTGACCTACATATCTGGGTCACCTGGACAATTTGCAGTTCCCCACAGGTGCACCATGTATTTGAGAAATGATGATGATAGTGGAATAGTCTGCGGAGTACTCATTTATTCTCCACGTCCTGTTTCATATGTTTCAACCTTTCTCACTTGTTGTTCAAGAGTTTGCATCACCATGGCCTATAATCTCTTAAAGCTGGCACATTGTGGGTGTATTCATATAAATAACAACAGAACATTTTTGAAGTGATGTCTTTGCCCAAGGCAAGGATACATGCCCTCTCACTGTGGTAGGCTATTATTGATCTAAAAGAACTATACTTTATGCATCTGAAATAGGTTTGTACACGCTAGTCTAAACTTATCTATAGGCATTATTTGTTCATAACAAAACAAATGCTACGAGTAACAGACAAGTGTTTCCTTTCAGTTTCCTTCAGACACCAAGATCACAGTGGTGCAAATAATTTTATTACTATAATGTAAACTAATCATGAATAAACTATTGCAACAGACACGTGGCTTATGTGACAATTTAAATAGACAAAGTACAGTAATAAAAAGCTGGAACTGTAGATTTTAGATTCATTAATCTCCTTGAAAACACAAGAAAATCCTTCTCCATGCAGCGTGCTGGGTGCTTCTCATCATTTTCTTTTTTGCAAATAACTTTGTAAAATTTCCATTAACAAATTGGTCTCCTGAAATAGAACAAGTTATAATGAGAAAACCTTGAGCAATATCTTTATATTTCACGAAAATGTGAATCTCACCAAATCTTTTGAGCGAGTTTCTTGCGTCTCCTGCGTCTCCATCTGCGTTTCTAACGCCATCCGCAGAAATTCTTGAAATAGCTGCGCCAGCGCGCTCTGCTCCGCAGGTAGTGACATATCAAGCGCATCCAGACTCTGCGAGGGCAGCAGTGGGGTATCCACTACGCTTTTCTTACCCATAAAATGGCCTTTCACAAAGCAAAATGATAGTGAATCCAATTAACCTAAATGTTGTGGTCTATAGCCTAATATAGCCAACTCGTTCAACATTTTTCAACATTTATTTAGGTTAGTAATTGCTTTTTCATAAAAGTTCTTACCAGTTGCCCACAGGTTTCCTCTTGGATTCACTTTGATCTTTGCCACTTTATTCCTGAGCTCTGTCAGGTCAAAACTGACAGCGGCGGTAATAGGCATAAACGATAATACTACAAGGTAAGCAAATAAGCCGCAATGGCAAACGTTATGGAGTGTAATGCCTTTCATTATTGCGCGCAATCCAGATCCGTCCTCTAGGGCGCACCAATCCAAGTGTGCCGCGCAAAGGCGCCCCTAGCTTTTATACGGGCAGAATTTACACAGGGGTGGGCTGCGTGGTTTAGTGCTAGGCTACATTGTCACGGACATGAGTCACACAGTTTATTGACAGATGGCTAACAAGTTAAATAGACTTATTATTAAAGTAAAGTGGATTATAATAGGCTACAATATTATTATTATGTATAATAGATATGATAGGTCTCTTGGTAGAATTCTTGCAAATTGTTGCAAACCACTTGGAGACTTTAAAGGATGAACAGTTTTAGCCTCGAATTTAACTTTGGAAAATTGAATTGTTTAAGTATTTTTTATAGTCCCAATTAAATTTTTTGCGTCTGCAAAATACAATTCCTAATTGTGTTGCCTATGCTACATGTCCATGTTAAGACATTTCCATCTTGAATCCCTGATCCCCGCTCCTCGAGCAGCCACATGACATTTGGCCAGTTGCAGCATGCTGCTGTGCTCTCCATCAATCCTTGGAGGATGCAGAAACCTGTTGGTTCTTGTGGCTAATTTAGAGCTGATAGGACATGGCGCTTCTTTGTCACTTCAGAGTGATAAAGTTGCAAGCTACCAGATGTGCCGTTGTATTGTGCTTCTCATAACCTTTGATATTCACACGTATATGGAATTAGTTCCAATTGCTACAAAATGTCACTTTAAGATAAAGATATCTGTAGTTTAGATGATAGTTTAATATGATAGTTTAATAATTATAGTTTAGAGCCACATCACTCAGTGTAGAGTGATGATCTACAGTGTAGAGTGATGTTGTGGCTCTAAACTATCATTCATGGGTTCTAAAATAGAAGATCTACCCAATTCCAGTAGCTACTGGAATGTGTCCGGGTGTCACTGTTGCCAGCCTTTCCCTATTTCAACAGACTCTCTACACAGGACTCCTCAAACCTTTCAAATTATCAAATTTACCAATTCCTGTGCCAGATCACGCACACAAGGCCATTTGTTTAGTGCAAAGACTGGCCCATTCTTTGTAATTACAAAATGTTAGAACGTTATAATGTTATAATAGGAAACTACAAAAAGTATGCATCACATCTCATTAAAAGGGACAAGGCTAAATATTTTATTTTTGTAACATTTGTATTTGTTAACATAAAAATGGGTCACATTTATTGCTCAAAGACAATTATTTCAACAGGATAGAATGCTCTCATACAAAGAGGAAAAAATGTGACCCAATCCTAACCAATTTTTACCACAAAAATCTTTTGAAGTTGAGATTTATTGTCATGTTAACACAGACACTTACATCTCTATAAAACATTCAACTAATAGTACAAAAAGCAGTTGAATGTGACAAATGTAACTTAAATAAGTTTCTGAAAAGCATTAAGTGGAACTTGCTGGACGTTGTATTCTCTGTCTCTTTAGGAGGCACCTCATTCTCGATGGACCAACACAAACAGTCCCAGCATGAAGAGAACAGCATACTGCAGACAAGGTAATTAGTTTTATGAAATAAGAAAATACACATTTCTGCTTTCTACTTACTTTAAATTTGGGATAGTCATTCATGAGAATGGTGACAATTCCAATGTATGGCACAAACCTAAACAACAAATGATGGTCTGTCAGGAGTCAGGACATTAGAGAGAGATGTTTCACATCTTCAGGAAGAGTGATTCCCCATGTTCAGTCCTAACACATCATTATTATTTTTTTCTTTTTAAAGATTTTTGAATCATAAGAAACAAATTACTATAATGCACTTTAAGGTAATCAGAAACCCTCTTAAGGTGTATCAGTAAGTGGGGTGCTTGAATTTTTGTTCATTCAAATAAAGTGGTCATTACACTTCTCATTTTCCTAAATATCTTAAGTGCCTATGGTCTACATTGTTCGACAGTCAGTGAATGTGATGAGCAATCGAGCTATTGTGCCTTATAAGTATTCATTTAAAAGGTGACCTTGCTTTGTATTTGAGCTCATAAGTTCATCTTAAGTGGATGAGTAACAGGGTCAGAGACGGATACCCAAAGCATGAGATTAAAAAGGTGTTGTGTCTTATGACACTTAATATTGTCCATATTTTATAGATCATATAGACCTACATGCATAACTACATGTGATAATAACAAACGGCTTGAAATAATACAAGGTCAACTGACCCAATATTCACTTGACCTGTTGCTGAGGTCCTCAGGAAATCAAAAGAGATGATATTTGACCAATTTTTTATGTATAGCACTAGTTCACTAAAGGCAACTCAGAGCCAGGTTTTTGTAAAGAAAGTATAATAAAATGTGCCTTTAAAGATGATTGAATAAAGCACCACTATAAGAAAAACATCTTAGCCAATATTTTTAAAGGCTGTATTCATTTTTAACGATGTAGTCGAACCCATGTACACTATGTACTGTATGCAAGAATGCAATAATTTACGGTGAGTTTGTATTCTTCTTTGAACAGAGGCATGTCTTTCTAACTGCTATACTCTTAAAAACATATGATAATATACATCTCAGTTTGCATTTCTGTGTACGTACTCATACAGATCAGCACAACAAACCACCATACATTATGTCCCTTTGGCTCTAGGGCTGCACAATATGAGAAAAAGAAGCCATTTTCAACATTTCTGTTTTGTATTGTGGTAACTATATTATAATATACTTTTTGGCATAATAAGTTTAGTTAATTTTAA